TGAGAAATAAAAGGGTGCTTTATAGATTTTGCGAAAAAAAGTATTTTATTGTTAATTTTCCAGAGATTTTTGGTTTTGGTTGTATTAATTATTTATTAAATTTTAATCCTTATTTACATTTGCTAGCAGTGTAAGCTTTGAGAGAAAAGTTCATTTGGAACTAAACGTTTGAAGTCTCAAAGTAGACCGTACGCATTAATATGTATCATATGAAGCAGACATACAGTCATTCAATAAAGTTTATGTACAGCGATTTTCGTTTGCAATAAGGGAAACTGTTTTTAATTATTTTATTTTTCGAAAATTTTTTATAAAAATATGTTTAACTCTACAACATAAACCCCAAAAATCAGAGCTCCAAACCTTGTGCAAAATTGAAGAAAATACTGCAAGTTTTCATTAAAATATTACACTCTTTTGAAAAGAGTTGAGTATGCAGTTTTTAGCCCATTGAATTTTAATATAACAAAGTGCAAGTCTGAGGTAGCTAGGACTTAGATACCAATGACTTTTGAGACATTTTTTTGTTGCCGCAAATCATTGGTAAGTCCTAGCTGTCTCAGACTTGCACTTTATTATATTAGAATTGAATGGGCTAAAAGTGTAACATTTTGATGGAAATTTGCAGAATTTTCTTTAATTTTGCAAAAGGTTTGCAGCTCGGATTTTTGGGGTCTTAGTCGTAGAATTAACCATATTCTTTAAAAAATTTGCGCAAACTAAAAGAATTAAAAAACAGTTGCCCGTATTGCAGAAAAATGGATGTACCTAAACTTTATTGATGGACTGTATGTACGCACAAAACAAATTGAAACACAAACAATTTATTTTGAATATTTTTTTTATTTTTGAAATCAAACAACCGTCAAAATTAACTCCAAGTGTCCAATGTGAACGATTGTATTTTACAAAAAGCTCAATTTGAACGTAAAATTATTCTTTTAAGAAAACAACTAGCCGCAAATGTTCGTTTAGTCAAATTCCGAAAAAAAAGTATTTTCGAATATCGCATTGCATGCATAGTGCGACTGCTTCTGTCATTACTTTTCGATATTGCGTTTGGGTTTAGCGGCAATAATTAGATAAATAATAGGCTCGTTGCTGCGTTGGTTAGCAGTTTTATGTAAATTTTGTTTTTAAAGATCTTTCGACAACACGAAAGGTGTGAAGGCCCCTAATGCTTTAAAATGTTTTTCGTTACCCTTCCATGGTACTGTTCTCTACCCCCATCTCACTTACCGGTTCCTCTAACGCTTTCGGCTTTAGAACTCGATCGATCTCCTCATGAAAACGTTCAATTTGTTCCGTCAAAAATTTTCTCTGATTGCGTATAGTCTCCATCGTAGTACGCATGTATTGGTTGCGATTCTCGTACTCATCATATGTCTTATTGTATTTGTTGGTCATTTCTAGCAAGCGAGTTTTATATTTCTGCAATAAATCATTCAATGTATAAGTACTTACATAAGACTTATGGCCTTATTCATAAAAAATAAAGTAGGTTTAAAAGCTTTATAGATTGACGTTTTCAAAAATTTTTTCAATTTGTAGACGCTTTTGAAGCTACATACTTTGTTTTTTATGAATAAGGCTATTAATCCTTATTTCTATTCCATATACATATCACAACAAGGTCTAATGTACATATGTTCATTAGGGTGGTAAAAAAAAAAGTTTAAAATGTTAAGTTCCCATCCTCTGGGATTTTACTAAATGGGAAATAAGAATAACCGTTTTTTTTTTTTGGGGGAAAACACTTTTTCGTAGAAATTGTATAGAATTCTTGAAAATAAATATTCTTCGATTGGAAAATTATGTTTCCCTTTAGGAGACTTCCAGAAATAAAATCTAATTCGTCAATGTTTTTGCAAAACCGCCTAAATCGCCATTGTGTCAAAAAAGAGTTTTGATAACCCTGAACTCCAGGCATCGAGATTTATGCATAAAAATCGTTAAATCGTTATTGAAACAACAGATTTGTAAAATAATAGCTAGAGAAAATACCGCCTATCAAGGCAACGCCTTCAAAGAATAAACCGTTTTTGCTCTCCTGTAAAATTTGAGTGCCCCCCCCCCCATATTGCAGTTTTTGAGGTTTTTGTACAACCTATAAAAAATAGTTGATACTAAGAAATGGTTAAGCAACTGGGTTTTGTTATTGGCGGTCTCCTAAAGAGAAACCAAATTTTCCGATCGAAAAAAACTGATTTTCAAGAATTCTATACCATTTCTGCGAAATGGAAACACTATACAAAATATTATTTTTTATCCATTTAGAAAAATTCTACGGTTTCTGATGAAGTTGCCACATTGAGTGCTTGCCTCAGTGTCCGAATAGTACGAGTTTAGGGAACACTGCGAGGTATAAGATTCCCTCCGCATTGCCCTCCGAACTTCTTCGATCTTATCTGTGTATTTTTTCAATTCCCGTTCAGCCTTCAATTCAGCTTGTGTCGCATTCATTTGATAGTAGTTTATTTCGTAGCGTATCTTAATCGGATCCAACACTAAAGAATTTTATATTTTGAATAGTATTTGGAATAGTAGGTACATTTCTATATCAGAACTAAACTAAATTGGGTTACTCACCATGAGCCTCCATTAGCTGTTTCTCAATCTCCGTCTGATATTCCTTATTTGCCTTTTCTTTATTTTTAGCAGTCCTATTCAGCAGCCAATCGCTGATCAGCTGTTGCAACTTCGCCTTATTTTCAGCCAACTCATCCTCAACGGTATTTTCTATAGTCAGCAGTTTCTGTATATCCCTGTAATAAATTTTCTTGTATTTTTATATTTACTCACAAACAGGTCCTGAGGGACAGAGAATGTGCCAACTCTGATAAGGAATGGGTAATACGAATGTACTTTTGATTTAAATATGTATACATACATATCATCCTAAGTATAGGATTTGGCAAATCTAAAAATTCTGTTGCGCTACGGAGTAATGAAAAAACTCCATACAAAATCAAGTCCTTTTGTTGCGAATTTCTTTTGAAGACTATAAATAATTTTATGTTGTAGTAGATAAAAAAATCCAGTAGTGATTTATCGGTAGACTTTTGTAAAATATTGGATTTGAGAAGTAAATGACTTCGTGCCTTTCTATATTAAGGTAAAACGATATGTATGTATAAACGAGTACTTACTTTAACATTTCATTCTCCATAAGCTTTCCTGCCTGTACGCTGGCGAACAGCGTCGTTATTATGCGTACACATTCTTCTATGTCCACCTGCAACTTTCGTACTTCCAAACAAACGTTCGACACTTTCTTCATTAGCACATCAATCCCGGCATTACTGTTAACTTTATTTCGCTGCTCGAATTCCCTAGCCGACCAGCTGAATACCTTGAATGGCAACGGTTCCTTGAGATGTCTAGTATTCTTACAGACAAAAGATCGATAAAGAAGTTCCATCTTGTGTAGTATATCAATTTCCAATTGTTTAATAGCCAAATCCCGTATATATTTAAAATCCTTTTCAGTGGTTGGCCTTAATTGGCCAACGGACCATTTGGTTACTTTCTTGCTCAAGGAAAGCGTGTCTTCTGAACTGGTCTCCTCAAAAACCTCTGCCATTTTCTGACCCTGTTCAAAGTCTTTGAGCAGCATCTCGTCGACAATTCGAGCTGATTTGGTTTCCATCCTCACATCTCGCAAGAATTTTACTTCACCCACCGATCCTATATTCATAATGGCGATATTGCTTTTTTACGAATCTCGTCGAAGTCAAATAAAGGACAAAGCAGACAAAATCAGAAAAAGGATATTATCTAAATAATTTCAGCGACGTTAANCCGAATCTCGTCGAAGTCAAATAAAGGACAAAACAGACAAAATCAGAAAAAGGATATTATCTAAATAATTTCAGCGACGTTAAACGAGTGTACACCCTTCGAAATGTCTTAAATGAAAACTTTGAAACAATTCATTCAAAAGTTCCTAAGTTGGGTTTAATTTCCGTTCAATTATTTCACAGTGCAATAGTCGGACACATGTACAAACTCGCTCGGATTTGCTTGAACGTGCTTCAAAGTGAAAGCTTGTTTATCGAATTTTCCTGCAAATAATCCATCTGCATATTTCGTAGGTACGAATCAAGGTTACTTATAGGAAAATATAAATAGAAAGCTACGAACCAGTGGTCATTTAAACCGTGTCTTTTATAGTCATTAGTTGACCATGCATTGGATGCAACCGCATGCCCGAGACCGATATTCGAGTATGAAAACACTTAAAATCCTGCTTGGAAGAGAAAAAAAACACCCGCCGCTATGCTTCAACTACATATCTTTTAGATGAGAAATCGTACTGAAATTGACAGAATTTTAAACCACCAGCGTAAGCTTTAGCATTACTCAAATGCTGAGGAAGGAAGGATGGCAGATTTAGATGATTTCGAAGTAAAGCATTTGGAGCAACGATATTTCGATACGTTATAACTGGTTGCAAACAAAAATGGCATCGTTTTATGATGTATTGTGGAACGATTTTCCGCCATCCCTTGTCAAATTAGGTTCGTTCGCTTCGTTTTATTTGGGTCACGGACTGAGTAGCCGTTTTCGGTAGCCCGCTCGCGAGCTAAAGTTTAAGGATACGTCTGTATTTAAAAAACCGCCGCTCGGAGTGTGCTTTCACTCTACGTGAAATGAAATGGAAGCTTAAAAAGCTGGAAGTTCCCAACTCTTACCTAAGCTAAAGCTTACCATTTCTGAGGCATGTTGTGCTTTTAAAGCTTTCTGCAATTTTTACCTATATCGCGTACATACAATAAATATTTACGTATGTAGATATGTCTGTATAACGGGGAATAACCCTTAACTAGCTTTCTATAGCTTTGATGTGGACACGCACAACTCTCAAGGCTCTCATTAAAGTACCGAGGCTAAGCCAGTGCCGATCAGAAAGACCATTTACTCTCACCGTATCCGTATCTTATCTAAATAAAGCTCTAAGTTCGGTGCAAAACGCACCAAGCTCTCTAAGATAAACCCATTCACGTATTCTACAAACAAATGCACACATACAGTTTAAAATTTATATTTTTGAATTTATTTCAAACACATTTCCCATTCTTTAATCATGTTGCCATACCCTTCTGCAATTCATTATTCTCATTTGTTCTTAATTAGACTGGGGATATTTTTCCGGAAGCTCAAGACGCTGGACCTGGACTTTTGTGAAAGGGAAACTTGCGAAGGCTGTCTTGGCACACGTTTCCCCTTCTTTACTTTATCGCTTTCAACATCCGCCAATATATCTCGAACTCTTACTTTCATATACTCCATTTCTGCTTCCATAAACTTCCGTTGTACCGCCATCTTATCGATATCACTTTTCAACTTTATATTTTTGTCGTTAATTTCGTTGAATTGACGATCATATTCGTCGCTCATTGTGGCAATTCGAATTTTGTATTCCTGCAAAAGCATTAAGTCATTGTGAATTAGGTGTGTGTGTTTTTTTTATTTAAGGAGATGGGTAAATTCCCTGCAGCAATTCGGACTGACCCTAGGTTCGCCCTCGGATTGTCCCTATTGTTACCAGTACTAGTCCCTCATAATGCCGCAGCCAATGGTTTTAACTGTCACTTTTAACATTGGCGTGTCATTGTAAAAAGACCGGTCCACTCAACAACTTACCATAAGATAGTCTTATTCTGGTTAATTGTACTTTATTATCTGGTTTTGAACTAGACAATTTTACTTTTCGTAAGAACACGATTTCTTTCTGCACTTCACAGATGTCTTTTTTTCTTTTTTTTTTAGCTCCTGGAAGCTAACAAATAGTACCAAGCATCTCTGCACTTTCAGCTACAGCCACAATATGTAAATATGTTTTCGTATCGAGCCCTAACCGTAAAAAAGTCGTAAGCGACATTTTTTCAAAAAATTTCTTTTTTATGCAGAAATGTTCCTAGCGCAACCAAATGCATTTCTGCATCAAAAATAAAATTTTGAAAAAAATTTCGCTTACGTCTTTTTGGCGGTTAGGGCTCGATATGTTCGGTTTGAATAAAGGCCTAATCAAACGATTGGTTTTTGCTATTTACAGGGTGGCGTTGTTTGGAAATATTTTTTTTTTTGGACTGAACTCGATTTTTTTAAAAATGTCTAGACAACACCACTCTGTGATTGACAAAATGTTTGTATGTAAAAAGCTGTGAGAGTCTCGCTTTTTGTCTATCTCTAGACCAGTTCATTAGGGACTGGTCGAAATCTAACATTTTCGATGCAAACAAATGTTCCATTCTAACCGGCCCTATTGCTGCATGGTTAGCTCCCTGCAGAAAAAACCCCGCACTTGTGAATCAAGTACCTAGTTCAGTAATAATTCTTGATCATCAAAAACGAACCAGTCGAATAGTAACTACATTACTAACAGTCCAAAAGCACAAAAATATGATACTTTCTCGAAAAAAAATTACACATACAGAGCGAGCTAGATCTCATTTTTCGAATTTAGAACTGGTTGGGAACAAGCGAAAAAGGCATCCAGCGGGGGGCAATCGACACTTCGAGTAGAATATCTCAATGTTAAGTTCGCCAGTGGCTATCATTGCAAAACAGAATAAACCCGACTTAGTCATGGCTTTAAATTTTCTAGAACTGAACCAGTTCGGCGCTAGTGCGTTTCCCTACAGGGCAGCATTAGCTCGATGATTGCGCCTAAAACTATGCTAGCAACATACGTCTATCGTTATATACATTGACTGCAACATCAACCGGAAGCAATTCATTTCTGTGCTGTATTTCGTTTTGGCTTTGCTCAATTCCAAACTCAGTTGCCTTTCCTTGCTGTCACAGAGATCCCTCCATTCTGCGACCCTTTCCTTCGAATATCTGAGCTGATAACGATTCTCGATGGGATATCGGACTGTTGAGTGAACAAAACAAACAAATTTGGAGTTAACACAAGCGCTCATTAAAATGCATACGAACCCCAGGATGCCATTGTTTCCAATTCCAGAAAGTTTTTGACAATATCGCGGCCCTGACTTCGACGTTTTAATGACATATTCGTAATCGTATTGATTATCTCACATAAATACGCCACGCCGTCCTTCAGTTCTTGCTGGATTGTATTGTGCATGTCAAGCAGTTTGTGAGCATCGCTAATTTTGAGTAAGAATAAACCATTTTATTAATTTTTAAGATATATACATATCTAGATATATACTGTAATGATCATAAGGCGTTCTCACTGAGAGCCCCACTGATCCTCATTCATGTCTGTTGACGAACTATACAAAATTACCGCACCTTTGACTAGACTTACTCTATCATCCGCACCGCATTCGCTACGTATTCCTTATTTTCCGAGTAAAAACTCAACAAAAGCGGCTTTATTAGTCGCGCCAGCTCTGAAATATCAACCTGCAACTTGAAGGCTTCCAAGTGTTTCTCGCTTAGAGATGCTTCAAATATATCCAGCCAAGCGATGCCCTTCAATTGCCGCCTGGCCAAGAATCGATCCTCTGTCCAACTGAATAGGTGAAAATGCTCCAAGTTTGTTGTTTTGATACTTTGATCGTGCATGCTGCTCTTGGTCAACTCATAGCGCACGTACAGGCAATTGTTTATATCGTTGCCTAATTTCTGTATCGCCAGCGCGCGTACTAGCTCGTAGTTTGGTCGCTGCTTATGACGCACCAGCTCCCAGAGCTTATCAGGTTCGCAGATTGAGGGAATGCTGACAAGCGATTGCGATTCTCTCACGAATTCCTGATGAAACTCGGTCCAGCGGGTAGTCTTTAGTACATCGAACTCAAAACTTTCTCTTTTCGTTTTCTCCTTCTCTGCTTCGATATGTTCTTTTAGTTCTGGATGTTTAATTAAAAATGTGCTCAATACGTCATCCTTTAAGCTATCCGGAAGACGTAAAAGAGATCCACCCATCACCGACATTATTTCTCTGTGATCGTCTTCGTCCATATCGAAACAGAATGCGTCAATAAAGTCGATTTCGTCACCGCCATAGTTGCTGTAGCGGAATTGAGTGAGGCTTTTTTTCAGTTCTATTTCTGCTGCCATTCTAGGATGAAATCACAGAGCCAAGCAATTGATAGCGTAGTACCTTCGCCGAATGGAAAGACCAAAACGCCAGCAAAAAAAAAAAATAAAAACTAATAATAAAAAATTTATATATATAAAAATATAAAAGAAAGTTTTACAAAACACGTGTGTCTTCTATAAAAAGTTGCTATGAAATGTAAAAAAATGAAGGAAAACATATGTATGTAAATAATCATTTGGAGAGATATAAACTAACAGCCATGCCTAATTAAAAGCGTTGAGCGGAGCACAGCGTTAACGCAGGTAGGTTTAACCTCTAAACAAAAGCACCCCGCCACGTCGAATGAGCACAAATTTGAGTGTGAGTGAAATACGAAAATGGTAATTTCATCGGCATCATAAGCCTGCAAAAACCTGTCCGGTTCCCAATCAGGCTCGGTTACCCGTAGGAGACCAGTAAGCCAAACATTATGAAATTTCCACTAATAATGAACTAGGCTAGAATTCTCACCTAGGTATGTAAGAATCAAAAATTTTGAACGCCCAAGTATTGTAGACATTTTATTTTATTATATATTGTTTATAAATGAATTATATTTTTATAAATCATATGTTTTCAGTCATATGTTTTTGAGAAAAATACACCGAAGTAATTTTAATATTTCAAAATTACATTTCTCGACTGAAAAATAAGATATTCGAGCTAACTGGACGGCACACAGTGTACTTAAAAAAAAAAATCATTTTTTGTACTTTTTATTATACTAATATTATAGATTTTGAGACGAGAAACACGATTCCACTGTTTAAAAAACGAAAAAAATGTCAACCCCTCAATTTAAAAATGCATTAAATACATATTGCATTTTTTTATGATTTGCATGCTGCTGTGCATCCTTCACACAATTATATCCCTCGAACAACAAGTCAGTTTTAGTGCTATTCAAGATCTTTAATTTAAGCCAAGGTAGAAGAGTGAGAGCTAAATTGTTACGATTCTGAAATTTCATTCGACATTTTACGCAATTTTTTCTCTAATTTCGGAGTAAAAACTAGCAATGCAGTTTCGAAGTTTGGCTTAAAATTGTTATAACTTGGCTCTTAGACGGTCTACCTTGGATCAAATTAAAGGTCTTGAAATGCAGTTATTGTCCGAGGCATATAAAATTCAGTGAAGGATGCACAGCTGCATGCAAATCATAAAAAATGCAATATACAAAACATTTTTCAAATTGAGAGGTTGACATTTTTTTCCAATTTCAATGCTGTAACAGAGGAAGAGGAAGGCCCCCTCTGCGTTGGAAAGACCAAGTGGAGAAAAGGACTTGGTTTCACTTGGCATTTCCAATTGGCCTCAGTTGGCACAGAAAAGAAACGACTGTCGTGCTGTTTTGGACTCGACAAAAATCACTTAGGCGGTTACCGGGCCAATAAATAAGAAGAAGAAGAATGACCTCATACACGAGCCTAGCAGTTTGAATTTTGCGATAAAAATGCGAGTGCAAGTGAAAGAATGCCGTAAGTGAAACCCGATTCGTTTGCGAACGTTATACCGGGTTAAATCTCGTATGCGTTATCATTTGGGAGCATTTGGTGCGCTGCATATAAACTTCGTATTTTTTTATACTTGTATATACATAAGGGTGGTCCCATGTGAAAAAGTAAAGTGGGAATTGTTATGCTCTCACCCCCTAGGTTTGTTCTATACCGAAAAAAGTATACGCTTATTTTTTACTGAGAAATCAAAAAATATTTAGAGGTCACTCAAAGCGCTAAAAGTTTTCCATGTATTTTATATGGGGCAAAATAACTTTTAATAGAAATGGTATAGAATAGTCAAAAATCAATATTTTTCTACCAGAAAACTCTGTTTATCTGCAGGAGATTCCTAATAATAATACCCAATTGTTTATTTAACCATTTTTTCATCGCAACTATAATTTATAGGTCCGCAGAAAACCCCGAAAAATGCAATGGGGCGACCAATAAAAAATCGTTAGTATTTAAAAATGGTTAAATAAGCAATTGGGTATTATTATTGAAAGTCTCCTGGAGAGAACCAGAGCTTCCCGATCGGAAAATATTGATTTTCAAGAATTCTATACCATTTCTACTAAAAATTTTATTTTTCCCATATAAAAATACATGGAAAACTTTTGAGCGCTTGAGCGACCTCTAAATATTTTTTGATTTCAAAATAAAAATAGGGGTATATTTACTTTTTTCGATATAGAACAACCCTAGCGGGTGAGAGCATTACAATTCCGACTTTAATATTTTTGGACCACCCTAATATACATACATACATATGTATGTAAGAATGTATACATTTCACCGAACGTTACTCATAATCACTTCTCAGATTTCCATAGAGCCTGCGACTAACCGCAAGTCAACGCAACTGATAATGGATTTGTCAAATTTCGGCAAATTTATTTACTTCCGAGAATTCGGTCGAGGTGGTTCCTGTATACGGCAACACTATGTCGCTTGTGTTGAAGTACTTTGTGGGTATTTTCGTAGTGCTGTGCTTTGTGCAGGTCAGTTAAAAAATTTCAAAGTGAAAATTTAGTTTTTAATTGCCTTAAATTCCTTATTTTTTAGTTCGTTGAAATGACGCGCTTTCGACGCGATGAGCAAGCTACTAATGACTTTGCACAAAAATTGGCAGAGGTTGGCCCCAATTTGAATAAAATTTTCCAACGGGAAGTGAATCGTTTCAAGGAAACCTTTAATACGGCCGAATTCAAGGTAAAGATATATTTTTAACGAATCGAGTTAGGTTTTGGTGCTGTGTAGAAGAAGTAGATATCGACGAGCTTGCCCGCATTCGGCAGGGAACTCTCTAAATATATTTACTAAATATATGTATATACTTTACTTCCGAATGAGTGTTAACTCTCCACTGCGTGTCTTAAGCATCCCAATGAGAACACCTGACAGTTGTTCATAAACACAAAACGTGAAAGTCGAGCTTATGGCTCAACGTGAACATACTATAAGGGCAGTTTGAAGCGCTCTAAGAAGACCAAAAATAAGCATCGATACCTAAAGGTGAAAAAGTGCCAAACTCGCTGTTTTCAAAATTTTGGGTTTGATGCATAATGATAGATAATACGATCTACATACATCGATTTTTTTGACTTTCCTTGAACAATTTCAAATTCACGTTGAGCTAAGGATGTAAAATTAAGCACAAGGAATGCAAAAGATATTTTCTTCTATCAAAATTTCTTTAAATCAGTATGCAGCTTTCAAGAAAAAATGCTTATATGCATATTTATTTCTTCACGAAAATTTGCAGCAATAGCCAAAGTATGTTTCTACATACCTTTTTCTCACAACAGAAATAATAAAAACATTTTTTGTGATTTTTTTTTTTTTTTGAGAACTACTCACTGCCTTTAGTACATAATTTTAAAGTATTCAGTACAGCTGTCAGTAAACGTTCACTCTTTTTTTACTTTATTTTTCAGGAACTTATGGCTTTCGGTACACACCATTTCAATGAACTCTTCGAAGTCTTCAAAAAAAGTGATGATAAGGCTTGAATAGGAAATTTTGTATACCAATTTCCTGTATGTATTAAACGTAGTTAGATATTGTTTTGAATAAACAAATATGTAAATTGCTTTGCTATTTTTGGAAAACAAAAGTAATTTAATTCATTTCAACTTATGTAGCAATAGTTATGGTGAACCAAGACGAATTTATATAAGGTGGTAGCGGTAGTACAACAACAAAATCTAGCTGGTATTTTGTTTTCGCTTTCGGTGCACAAATGTCAAATTTCAGCTATTCTTCGCTCAAGGAGGAAGAGGGAAAGAAAATGCCAACACTCTTACTTTCGCACTCACTCATAAGGAGTTTTGACATATGTGAACCGAGGCGAATTAAATCAGGGGTTCTAGCAACACCACCTTATATGAATTCGCCTTGTGGAGAACTGAATTGGAGTACTATATGTATATTAGGGCGGGTCAATTTTTTTTTACTATTCGCGTATAGCATAGGAGGGTTCTAAGTGTAATTCTAATTTGCCGAAGAAACTATGGGTCTACAATCAATTTCGAGTTTGCCAAAGTACGAAAATATTTTTTGAGGAAAATGTCAAAATGTTCACTTTTTCGCACTCTGGGGGAAGTTTTAAGAAAGAGATAAGCACAGAAATAGATTCCTCATACCAAAAAACCCCATATAGCATGTTTTATACAAAATTTAGCAATTCTTTACGACACTACAGCAAAATATGTACTAAGAAACCTATTTTCGTAACTACAAATTGATTTTAGACCCATATATCGGCAAATTCGCTTAGAATTACGCGTAGAATTCTTCTGTGCTATAGGCGCATAATACAAATTGACCAGCCCTAATGTATATGCTTGTAATATTGCCTTCTCCTAATATTGTAGTATGCTCCTCCGTAAGGATCGCTACATATTGACAAGTTTTGATAATTAAATTGTTTGTTATTTAATTTAAGCTAATTTTCTATAAAAATATAGTTTATTCTTTAATCGATTTTTCTTCGATTCGGAAAGCAACGAGCAGACAAATCTCGGGTTTAGTGATTCTTTTAGCTTTGGGATATATATTACAAATATAAAAGTTATAAAAGGATCCTCCCCTCCCTTCAGGGGGTCCTAGAAGGAGTGGAACATATTTATGTGTCTCATTCGGAATTTTGGACGTCTGTAAAATCGTTGCTAATATTTCGCCCTTTTTTGGTTTCTTTGACAAACATACATATATATGTAGTACAAAGTGCATCTACGAAAACAGATTTTTTATTAAATTTGTGTAAATGCCAGAGAAAATGAGAAAATATTCACAACCACTAAGCATATGAATATGTCATCCCAACAAAAAAATACGTAGGGGACACATATGTCCCATGAAGAAAAGTAGTGCCATTTCCGGAAGAGAACTAAACGGCTTGAGTGTAACCATTTCGAACCGTTATCTGAACCTCGACATACCAGAGGGGATATATGTATGTATGTATTTAAGCCAATTCCAAGACGTAGTTTCTATTTTAGTTATGAGCAAACTTCTGCCGGGTCGTATGTGTAACGTTCGGATGGAAAGGGTTAACCAAAACTCGTAAAGGTCAAGTATCAGGCTGTGCAATTTTTAACAAGAATTCAACAATCTTTCGTAAAAATGTCTAGCTTTTTAATAAGGTATCGTAGAAATAATTTTGAAGCCAATTTCAATTTAAGAGTAATAAAGTTCAAGTTTGAGGTAGCTATGACTTTTTTTGGCAATTTTTTTTGCGACAGTATTATGCATATTCTTCTGTCCAAAGTATGTTCGACTTAATTGCGCTTAGTAATTGTAATTGTAAAACTGAAAAAACTAAAAATCTGCATACACAAAATCTTTGTAAGAAATCTAAGTGTAATGTAAATCGAATGTTTTTTTTTTAATATTGCACGGTTTTATTAAGGAATAAACTATGTTTTTATAAAATATAATTGAAATTAAATGACAATAATAAATAAATTGTTAAAGCTTGTCAATATTGGGTGCGCTTATAATTTTAACACCGGTGGCATGAATTTATGTATTTGCGACGTATGATTTATTTATTTTTTTTTATAATGTAATTCTAATGATGTAGTTCAAGAGCTGCGTTAACTTTTTTGATTGCAGTGTTTTATTAATACATAAGTTAATAATTAATGTTGGAAGCGTGTACGCAAAAAAAATTATAAAAGTAATTCACACTTTGTAGAAGTTCATTAATCTAATAGATCTTCTGCTTATCTGTGCGTAGCGAGAGAAATGATTGCTCGATCTTCAGGGGTATCAGCAAGCTCAGTATACAAATACATAGTATGTATGTATGAATGTAGATACTTAGTGGATTTTACCACTGACTCTCATACTTTTATGCACATACAGTCCTGGGGATAGAAACAGCACACCTTTGCCTGAAAGGTTGCAGCACATGCAAAAAGCAATAAAGTTATGTATTCCTAAGATGACCATTCGTGTCGATACTGGCGGGACAGTACCGATTTGGAGGAAATTATCCCGCTGAATATTTTTTTTTAAAGTCGGGAGGTGCCCCGAATTTTCATATTTGTACCGATTAAGTCCCGATTTTCAGTGTTTTGTTTACTCATTTATTAAGACGCTCCCTGTACTCCGGTCCAAAAACCATTTTTCGCACAAACGAGGCAGCACTTTCCTCACCACAAAGGACATAGAATAAATATAAGTGAGCCATAAACATAGCTAGCATCCTTATAAATAATATATAAATATAATTAATGAACGTATTAAAAATACTACGAATACCCTCAAAAAAAATCGTGGATACGAGAATCATAAGCTGTAGATAGAGTGGCAAAAATATAAATAGGGAAGAGACATCTTACCTTTCTTTGGATATTTATTCCCCTTTCGATTGTTTAATGGTTATTCCTTTTTATGAATGTGAGGCTCGTTATCTAACAAAGACCATGTAAGTCACAATTTTTAACTTTGTACAAAAACTAGTGAAATTCGACAAAGTTTCATCAAAATTTTGAGCTTTGAAATTAGATTTCTTAGAAACATTCTGAGTATGCAGTTTTGTGAATTCAAAGTGCAAATTTTAAGTAGCTAGGACTTACGGTTGATATTTGGTAAATTTTGTGGAAGGTGTTGCTCATTTTCTCCATACAAAAAATTTTTTGAACATCAACGGTAAGACCAAGCTCCTTCCAACTGGCACTTTATTATATTAAATTTTAATGGGCTTCAAAATATAGCATACTCCAAACAATTCTAGAAAATCTGATTAAAATGTTTCAAATTATGATGAACATTTATTCAAATTCGTCAAATTTTTATAAATTTTCTACAAATTTTTAAATTTTGATTTACATGTTTTTAGATATTTAGTAAGTTATATTTTCATAAAAAAAAACAATAAATATTTTTAAATTTTCCTTTCTCTTTCTTTTGTTTTAAATAAAACTGTATTAAGCCTTTTTATTCTAAAAACAAAATTGTATGTTCGAATTCGATGCTTTAGAAATGTCCAGAATTTCGGCCACAGAAATCTGGTCACCGTATGTATACCCGTTAGTCAAATTACCATTAACAAGAAAAAGTAATGCAAATCATAAATCAAATTCAACTTGAATTTCGGCAACTATGTATGTAATTGAAATATACAGCAGACATCCGTAGACGAAAGCGGTTTAAGTTTCTGGTTTGAAAATATTTCCAAGAGGGTTTCCACCTGTTTGAAAATTTAAATAAATTATGAAGTATGTACATACATATTAAAGTGTGGGTATCCAACGAAGAATATTTTCAAGGCATTTTAAGGTAAAAAGTTAAATTCAAATTATTTCGTTAGTTAAATGAATAATTAAAACATGGGCACCAATCGAAATGGGTTTTGAGAGACTTTATTTCTAAACTTTATTTAGGAGTGCTTCTACATATATAAAAAAATCAAGTTCAACTTTATTCACCAATTAATTGAATTGAAATACCTTTTTAGGTTTATGAAGGGGGCTGCAAACTTATAAATGGTTAATACAATTTTGCCGTTTAAATGCCGCGCGGATTTACTAGTAATTTACAAATACGGGTAATATGGGAAGAAGAGGTTACACATCAGCAGCGCATGGGATCCACGTATCAAGTAGTTTTTAGTTTGGCCTATAATTTGGTAAAAATGTCTTACCTATCGAATATACATATGTACATATAAATGTACTTAATTTGTCAGATATAGAGTAAAAACCCTAAACATATTACAGTATTGCAGATCTTGCGTATACATACATACATATACAGGGTGCCTTTGTCTGGTGACATTTAGGCAAAAATGTGCCATTTGTCTGTACATATTTGCTTGGAACATGTATATTTAATACAAATACATATACATATATATGTTCACAAACATACATACATAACTACATCCAAGTAAGCTTTGATTTTTTAAAAACTAATCTTAAAATTAGTTTAATGTGCGTACATACATACATATACTAGGTACATGATACAAATACTATAAATACATATATGTACATACAAACATGTTTATGCATAGCTAACATTTTGATAACGAAAGCAGAATTCGGAATCATTTAGACAACGGAAAATCGTACAGTTTTTCTACAACGGCTAAATTATCGCCGTATCCGTCGTTTCACAGAAGAAAATTTCTATCGAAAAGTAATGAGTAAAAATTTAAATGGAATGACACTTTTTTTATTACACTCAGAAAACTCGCTACTATACACAAATAATGTACACTAAGAAAAAAGTAACATTGTTTTCTCAATCAGCGTCATTTTTTGTTTTTCCATGTTAACAATTCGAAATTTTTTAACAGAAAAAGTATTTTCTAAATAAACATAAACATAAGTTTGTTTGAGCGATCACAGAGCGTGTTGTCTAGAATATTTTCATCAAGAATCAGGTCAGCCCAATAATAAAAATTCAAATAAAAATAAACTGTTCAAAGTAAACAAAATGTTTTTTAGGCGTAAAGTTATATATGCTTTTGTTTAAAACAAAGAGGAAACGGTTTATTTTTTTCTCATTTTAGCTTCAACCAAATCAGTGTACTTTACTTTCTTCTTTAACTGTAGATAAATTGCTTTGGCCAATAACCTAAACTTACAAAAATTTGTATCAAATTTATCTGTTACAATGTTATTTAATTTTTAGATTTCCTTCCCAATGCAACCAATGGGGATGGTTATTTATGTACTTTGGCTGGCATGAAAGCGACTAATTTAACATTAAAGTTGAGTTTCAATATAGACAAGGCAACATGGTCGTCTTAACACTTACAACATGGAGCACCCGGCTCTCAATTGTCCATCCTAGTAACATTATTTATCTATATATAAGTCTATAATTAGTGTATAAATTAAACTATGTATGTATTAAATTGAGAACCTTAATAAAACCCGATTTAAGCAAAGAAAAATCTTACAATTAGATAATGCATTAAATTCCGAAGTGATCGAGATTAGCTTTAATGTTCTACTCTGTGCTATGAATATAGTTTTTTTTTTTAAAGAATAACTCCGCCACCTCTCAAACAGCTTATTTTAGCCGAACCCCCATCTTTGAAAAACAACACCTTTTACAAGTTTATATCAAAGAATTCACCTTCACAGAAGCTCGAACGTAACCTGGTCTTCACAATGACTCAGATTTCATAAGCATCTTCGGTGCCAAAAGGATGAATAATGTTTGATTTGGTTCTTAGTCCCGAAATGTTTACATTTTAAACTGTTGGCATTCAGATAGCAAGTGGCGCCTTCACTTCATTGGTCAACCTTTTTACAAAGAAATTGAATCGGAAGACCCGAAACTTTGGACATTCCATACCAAATTAGGAGTAAAGAATCCAACATTGCAGTGCACTGTCGGCCTATCTTTAACACTTTTTCCTACCGGGTTATTCAATTGCATTCATTCGTGCATGTATAGTATAGAATAATTGTAATATTGTAATCATAAATAACAAATAAATGCAATGCAGTCAATCAACCATCCATATATTTACTAAAAAAAATAGCTGCATAAATAACAACTTGTCGTAAATATGAAAAATGAATACTCATCTCCACGAAGAGGTCTTAAAAGTTATCAACGAAATAAAACAGAAAACTATAATAAAAAAATAAAACGAGAGCACTGCTCACCGACTGATATGTAGTGCACATCCTCGGGAAACGATTGAGGTTATCAATCTTGAGTTAGCCTTCGGAGCGAACAGTGAGCGGATAAAATATCACCAGTTTATTAAAATATAAGAAACGAAGTCAAGAATCTGCAAAATGTCAGCCACGCTTCGGTGCATCATTGGGCTATACATTGTGCTGTGCTTTATGCAGGTCGGTCAAATTTGATTCAGTTTCATTTATAACACAAATTTCAGCAAATATAAAAGTATTTTTAAATATACATATCCTGACCTTAATATAAAAAGGGCCTATCTCACATCGGCGCTGAAATAGAAAAAGCCGCAACTAAGTAAAAATCCAAAATTCTCTTTAATTAATTTAAGCAGTAAAAAAATTTAGTTAGTTACGGCTTTTTTACATTTCAACGAATATCTGAGTTAGCGCCTTTCTATACTAAGGTAACGGATATGTGCTTTTCTAATTATTTTCCAGTACATAGAAATGGCGCGCATTCCGCGCGATGAAACAGACGCTCAGGAGGGGCCTACTTCACAACTAGCACTCGGTTTGCAAAATATGCTGGACGATATAACGCAAAAGTTTAAGGCCGTTGTAGATGATGATTCATTAAAAGTGAGTTCACGTTTCTAGGTAGCATGTGTGTGTGTGTGTGTGTATGTATTTACAATAAACATATACCCTGCAAACCAAAGTTCCCGAAATCCCAAGGAAATCTTTAGGAGTATCTTATTTCTGTAACGATTTTTTTTACGAATCGAATTATAGGTAAAGCAATGAAAATAATGCTGCTAAGTGAATAATTCCTGCAGATTTTTTGCAGAATTTTCTTTAGTTTTCGTACAGAAATTTCTTTACAAGTTCGTGTCAACCACTCCATATAAATTTCTTTGAGTATTCGTAAAAAAATCGTTACAGAAATGAAATACTCCTAAAGATTTCGTTACGATTTCGAGGACTTTGGTTTGCATTAGTTTCAGTTTGATTTTATTCTCATACACAAATGCTTTTTGTGTATATTTCAGAAATGGTTTGACGATTTCGGAAAAGAAATAGTTGGAACCAACAATGCTGCATAAAATTTGGATGGATAAGATATGTTCGTCGAATCTAGAATGCAAATGGGTAGAAGAAGCACATCAACCAACTGAATAACAAACAAATTTAATAACCAAAAACGTATGACCTTTTTCCTAAAGAATAAATTTTTCAGTTTATAAATCTTTTTTGAAGCTACTTTATTTCGAATACCGAGTTCTGGATTTGATTAATAAGAACCGACCGTTCTTTTTTTGTAAACAATAATTCCTTGTAATTAATCCAGTAATCCTGTTGTAATAAATTGTCTAAAAAATGCTTGAGCTTTTTTCATTAATATATTTGCCTCTTGAGTAGGTTTATTTGTTAGCAAGGTTTGGGTATTCCACCCAAAGCTAGCAAGGGCGGTACAAATGGTGTTGTTGTATATTCCGATCAGAGTTGTAGGCAAATACCAAGCTAGAACTTCTGAGATTGACTGCAATTTGGGTTTGTCCACCTGCAGGCCCCCGAAGCCTGCCAGTCATTGCTGGGGGAATTATTCGCCCAGTTTCTGATTGTGGCCTCGATGGCCGGCATTGGGAGTGCTACATATAACTGGTTGCGAAACTAAGGAATATCTCGTCGGAGGGCCAGATGACAGATGATGAAAGGTTTCATTACCAGGTGACTTGGCACCCTGAGTAAAAATAAGTTCGATTTATTTTCCAGCGTATACATGTATGTATATAATTTAGTCGAGACTCGCATTGGCGAACTAGTTTGGAAGTATTTAGAAAGCTTGTCAATACCTTTAGTGCAGCTTGGCGGTTACTTACCTCGATTGCATGTTTACGAACAAAAGTGGCGAGGAACTCAGTTGAAGTCATTACCAATTATTCTTGACTAAGATCTGTGCACACCCGGAAGCTAAAAGTACTTAGGGTCACTATATTTTTCTATACAAAATTTAAGTCAAAACAAAAGACTGCGAACTTTACACCAAACATTCCAGGAGTTCGGTGATTTTCAGTTCATCAGCCCTCTATTTATCTATTTTAAGTTTTTGAGCGTAGTTGTTTTGTGTTTAGTTGTTTCATTCGACAATGCAGCCTTGGAATATCCAAAACTAAATGGGCAAGAAAACAAATGTAGACTTTGGTATTTCCTTAAGCAAAAAAAATTATACCACTGGATTAGGATAGAAAAAAGTTAGTTGTTTAAACTTTGTAGCAAATGAAGAAATGAAGAAAAGGGTATTCTCCAGAAAGTGAATCCTAGTCCACCCCTTTGTAGTATATTTTTGTAGAAAGTTTCGACGGATAATTTCTTTTTCAGTGGCGAAACTGGCCGAAATAATTTATATTAGAAAGTTGACATCATTTGCTAGGAACTTTCCTTCGGCAATGATCCTCATTAATCTGACAAGTGGTCCTATGAATGAATTAAACTTTTGATATATAGAACTCGGCAACTTTGTCTCTAGTTAAAAAATGCAGGAAGTAATATTTTTCAATCAAAAATTGTTGTACAGATGTGCATATCGGATCCCTAACCAATAAATCTTTAATTTTACAGGAAAAGCAAAAAAAACATCATATAAAAAGTATCAAGAACAGGCAGAATTTTTTAAGGAATAGCATGTAACTCCGTTGTTTTTGGTACTAAGAGCTTAAAATTTTTATGAAGGTAAATTTTTAAAATGTACATCCTCCAAAACCCTTGAAAAACGCAATTTCGAAAAATGTGTTAATTGGGGCCTTTGCGAATTATGATACCGATATGTACATATGTATGCCCGAAGCACCCTTTAAATTATATTTCCATTTGCAACACAACACGCCTTAATTTGCACTTCCAAGCAAAAATACAGTGACTCAAAATGTGCACATTCTAATTTTTTACATATTCAAAATGTTTTTCAAGTAATTTATTTTCCTTTTGTTAAAGATTTTTTATATTTATTTTTTAATGATAATCTCTGCGCGAAAAAATAAAAATCATAAAATAATCATTATTTGTAATCCCAACAATAAAAATCAAATAATAATTATTTCCGTTTGTGCGAAAAAAACAAAAACTCAATAATAATTCATAAAATAATGATTAAATGCTGATTTAAATTATTTTACGCATAATGATTACCTTCCCTGCTTTCAAAATTTAAAATAAAATAGTTCAGTGAAAGTACCACATTTCACTGCTTTTGGACTGGTGCGGAACTAGTTACTATCGGACTGGTACGTTTTTGGCGAAAACGAATTAGTACTGAACTAGAAATCTGGTTCACTAGTTCGTGTTTTCCCTACAGGGAAGAAATAAAACTAACTGCAGTTTTTATAAATTTCACATGTTACATAAAAAACGCAGAAGCCGTTAGCACAAAAAAAAACAATTAAAAATCAACGCGATTTTTAACTGCTTGGTACTTTGTTGTACTAAAATTTTACCCAAAAATATTCTAAAGATTAAGAGTAAATAGATCGAAATTTTGATGAACATTTGTTGAGTTTTTCTAAATTTTGCATAAAGTTGGAGGCCATAATACATACGAAATTATTTTTTATAAAAATATAGCAGAAAAATTTTACTTGAAAACATTGTGAATATTTAAATAAAAATTAACATGCGAACACTTGCTTGAGGCACTGTATGCACGCACACTTAGGTCAGCAAATACTTAGTTCATATTTACTATCAATATATTCCAACTAATCAACATCCTCTGCTAAGCTCAAGAGGTTATCAGCTTAGCAGAAAAAATGAATAAATAAATGACAAACTACATAAAATCGAGACACAAAAACAGCAACAACATGAAAGCATTGTTGCGATAAGACTCTGGCTTAGCAGCGCGGATTATTCAAACTAAGCGCATTTAGTCACAATTCACTTATCATTCATAAGCCGATCTTTGCCGCGAATAGTTCGACAGTTTCTGATTTAGTCAATAAAAATTAAAAAAATAAATAAAATGTCTTCTCTCCTCAAATGCATCCTTGGTCTCTGCGTTGTGCTGTGCTTTGTGCAGGTACGTTGCTTTTAAGGATTTTTATTCATCTTTCCGTCGTCGATCGAAACTTTAACAAAACGTATTTTATTGTTGTTGCAGTTCATTGAAATGGCTCGCATTGCCCGCGACGATGCAGCCGTCAAGGATGCAGCCGTCAAGGATCCTGCCGCTGACCTGATAAACAACTTGCAAAACCTGGTCGGTGATGTTGTGGAGAAGCTCAAGACCGCTGTCGATAGTGATGCTGTGAAGGTGAGTACATAAATGAATGGCAGTTGAAACTTGCGAAAGCCGCAATAAGTGGAGTGTACCTAACAGAATTCAGAATTAAGCCAATATAATTTAACTTAACATTAAGAAAATAATTTTGTTTTATATATACGGTGACCAGATTTCTCTTGCCAAAATCGGGACATTTCTAAAGCATCCAATCCGAACATTAAATTTTGCTTTTAGAATAAAAATGCTTAATACAGTTTTATTTAAAACAAAACAAACAAACAAAATTTAAAAATGTTTATTATTTTTTTAAGAAAATATAACTTACTATCTAAAAAAAAGCATGTAAATCAAAATTTTTAGAACATTTATATAAATTCGACGAATTTGAATAAATATTCAACAGTTTGAAATATTTAATCAGATTTTCTAGAATTGTTTTGAGTATGAAGTTTTGCAGCCCATTTAATTTTAGTATAATAAAGTGCAAGTTGGAAGAAGCTTGGACTTACCGTTGACTTTTGGCAATTTTTTGTTCGCGCATTTTCTTCATTTTTTTTTTTTTGTATGGGGATAATGAGCCGCACCTTCCATAAAATTTACCAAATATCAACAGCATGTCCTAGCTACTTACAATTTGCACTTTGAATTGAATAGGTTACAAAACTGCATACTGAGAATATTTCTAAGAAACTTTGTCGAATTTTGCTAATTTTTGTACAAAGTTTCAAATTCAGACTTACATGGCCTTTGTTAGATATCGAGCCACGCTTTCATAACGAGGAATAAACAATAAATAATCGAAAGGGGAAAAGCCACAGAAAGCTAAAATGCTTCTTCCCTAAATATTATTTTCGCCACTCTATATACACAAAAAATGGTTTTTGAGCCAGAGTACAGGGAGAATCTCAATAAATGAATAAAGAAAACACTGAAAATCGGGAATAAATCAGTACAAATATGAAAAATCGGGACAAGTCTCGACTTTTAAAAAATAATCAGCGGGACAATTTTCTCCAAATCGGTACTGTCCCGCCAAAATCGGTACGAATGGTCACCGTATTTCTATACCTCACTTCATTTCAAACCCCGGTAATGCATACTGATCTCACCATTTAAAACATTTTTTTAGATAAGGCACTAAATGACTTTTAATTTTTTTTTCAGAAACTGTTCGATGATGCTGGCAAAGCTTTAGCTGAGACCGCCAAATCTGCGCAGGAGAAAATTGGAGAGCTTTCACAGAACGCATCAAAGAACTAAGAGATTTTTCTATGATTTATATAAAAACCTGTGGATATTTTTTTAATAAATCTTAGATTTTATAAATAAAATTGAATATCTACTCAGATTTTCTCTTTTTTTTTAAATACATGCATATATTTGCCGTAAGTACATATGTAAGTAAGTTTTCGTGTTTCTGTAAATTACCGTTATATGTGAGGTAGGCATGGTTATTGTCCGATTTTGCCCACGCCCGAAAGAAGTGCCTGTACAAAGTTTCGTTAAGATATCTAAATTTTTACTCGAGTTATCGTGTGCACAGACGGACGGACGGACAGACAGTTACCGCTTACTCGATTTCTCTTTTCCTTCTGATCATTTATGTATACATTTGTCTATATCTATCTCGATTCGTTTTGCCTGTTACAAACAGCCGTTATGTGAACAAAGTTATAATACCCTTGTGCACAACTACGCTCGGGTATAAAAACTGAACTTACGATTACTGTAATCGGAATCTAAGATGCCTTCGGTGAACGATTGCCGCAATCCTAATGCAATCATTTTTTAAATTGCGAATAAAGTAATCGTAATCCTAGACGCAATCGATTATCGCCCAGCTCAGTCGCATGCTTATCGTTATGGAAGACCAGGTAAGGAATGCCGGAACTTGATTTTTAGATTTTATAAAACTCCAAAAGTTTTCGGGCTATTTTTCGTCCTAGGTTCATAACTTTTAATGTAACTATCGGATGGACGGGTGATTTTTTTCAAATAGGTTTCAAAATGTATCTGCCCTTCAGGACGCATTTTTTTAGAACAAAATTTGTATTTAAAGGGTAGATCAATTTTAAACCCTACTTGAGAAAACAGCCCTTAGAGTCTCTATGCATGCACAGGGCCACATTTATACATAAATATGTAGATTTGTGACGGAGTCCATTCAGATATATGTAAATTGTTCCGTTGGTTGACAGTATTGTATTGCAGATAGCCGTATTTGTAGTGACATTTGCTACGGAAATTGCCTAAGTGTGGGCGATGGAGTTCCGAGCTCAAATTCCCAATGTCCAAATAGTTGATATAGGTATTTGATTAATAAAATAAAAGCTTGTAACAATAAGGCCGCTTCATGACGAATGAGTACCTGAATGAGTAAATGAAGTCGTGTCTCCAACCACATCACCATTGATTAGACATTGTCTCCGAATTTCATGGCCGCCTTCACTCTATGTTTATTATTATGGATTGATTTCCAGATTGTGGACTACGTTATCGCTAAGCGTACCCATCTAAAACGACGTTGATATGTAATGTCAATTTTGAGTATGCAAATTGTTTCGTAATAACTATTCACTAATATTCGTGTGGAATGTTAGTAAGGACTTTCAAAGGAGAAGTCGTTCCAACGGGATAAAATAACTAAATAGTAATAAATGTTTTCAAAATTCCATAACATTTGCGTGTTTAGAGTTAATTTGATGAAAATTTATTAAGTAGCAGCACTTAGAAGAAGTGGAGTGGAAATAGTGGTCGGTACTCCTGTAGGCATACATTTCTTTGAAGCATAGCGAATAATGTTTTATACAAACATAACAACATAGAAACGTACATACTTAGTACTTATGTATATTACAAACTTTTTGTGGCTACAGGAATTCATGGAGTTTCAGTTTCGTTGACAACACCCCATTTGTTTACTGGCGCAAATGCAACAGTCTAATAAACCCCACATAGATACACCCATGTAAATATGTAAATGCACTGTTGTTAGGCAATTTTATTTTATTTTTTTTAATTTGTTAGAAAAAACAAATGAACATTCTTGGATGTACAAACTAACTGAAGACGTTCAATAGAGAGCCAGTAGATATATCAATATGGCGGATTTACATGTGTGTGGTTAGATTACGAATAATTTAATAACAAATTCACAGAAACAAACCAGAAAAAAACACAAATACAGCACGCAGTTTTCTTTAATTTTAATGTCGCACTATACTCCATTTCGTCAAACGTCTGGTAACTCTGCCGAGGATTGGCGCATATTTGAGATTTTATGTGAAGATGTGAAAGTGCCGCGTGATGATAGCAAGGTGAGCGTAAATATTTGAGTGACGTCACTTGAAACTTTGTGAAATTAAAAAACTAAAGATAAGAAAAGGAGCAGATGAGAGTGAAAACCAAATAATCAAACACAGATAAATTAGTTTTAAAGTGGTGATTTATATTTCTCCGAAATGCTGCACTAAACCTTTCGTTCTGTTAAAGTGTTTTTAAAAATGCAAAAATTTTAATGGGCTTAGGATTCACGTGGTGGCAGCGTTGTTCCCTGTACGATATGAGGATTTACTATTAAGATTTCTTCGGCAGTGAAAATTTTGTCGGCTTTGAACATTATGCCGGCTGAGTGCTGTTTGCTGCACCTAATATACGGATAGTTCCAGCCCTTGGTCTTTGTTTTAGTTCCGACAAAATAAACATCCGGGAGCCGGGTATCATAAGTTCCCTTTTTGTTTGAAATATTTGTTCTCTGTTACACAATTCACCGCACGTATTTTGCAATTAAATATTCGAAAGCTCAGCTGCTCAAGTAATAAAGCACATGAATTGTATCTAAAAAAAAAAAATCATTTAAAACTTGTACTTATGGATAGCTGGTCATTCACATCTGGATGGTTAAGCATCTTAATGGGTTTTCTTCAAAGGAATTCTCCATTAGTACAATTTCAATCACTAGCCGCCTCTACTGTATTAAAACAAAAAAAAAAACAAAGCGTAAACTACTTTCTGGCACTAACATTAAAACCTATTTTTTAAGCCAATCCATTGGCAACTTTCAACTCGAATTAGTGGCTTATCAACTTCGAATAAACAAAACGTAACTCCATTTAATTTATGTGCACGCCGCGAAAGTTTTCAATGCCTGTGGTAAAAGTGCTAAGGTTAAACATAATTTCCCGGCAAACTCACACACGCAAACATACATACATACATACATACTTACTTGGGACAATGTGAAGCAAAGTTCTCAACATGATTTACATTTTTCGCATACCAACTAAAATTGTTATTATTTTGCTTCAAATTACTCTAACGGCGGCACCATTGTGCCCAACGACCGACCGACCCTGTTGCCTGTGCTCGATTGCTCAATCGGCGTTCGACGAGTTTCCGTTTCCGAGGCGTTGCTAAGTTTACACACAAACACTGAGGGGTATACAAACACACGTACATACATACGCCATTGGCAAAATAAAAAGGAAAATGTGTGGTGGTTACCAACGCCATAAAATACGTTTAGAACATTTTATGCTCGCTTTAGCATTGAACACCGCCTATGTATGTACTCGCTCCCATTTCTTATCGAATCCAAGCTATTTCTGTGCCGTCATGTGAATGACCTAGATAACAACAACAACAAATCGGCCAACACATACACACACTTAAAGGTAATAAATAACAACAAACTTTCCACCGTTGCCATTGTGCCCATTTTTTTCGCCTTGCCGCCGACAACCCCCCTCCACCCACTTTTCCTCGCATTGATTCACCATTTACTGCACATTGTAGCCANCCCGACAACAAACCCCCCAAACCCCCACCCACCCACTTTTCCTCGCATTGATTCACCATTTACTGCACATTGTAGCCATGACTGTTGAGCGGCTAATGTTATGTTACATTAAATTCCATAAGTTTGATTTTTATTGCCAACAACAACAACACTGTCGATATGTATTGTTATGTTACTATCTGCAACCCATTCACCCTTCTAAATACATAACTTGTCATAAACTGGGCACATCTTCAATCTACATAATTTTCGGCAAAGTAACCGAGCCGAGAATTATATTCCGTTAGTCGAGCGCGATTTGCTCGAATGTGTGGACGCTTTTAGGCGCTTTGCCTTCCGCTTGTGATTCGGGCCCAAAATTTAAGTGCATAGTTGCAACTGGTGAAGAACAAGTGCAGGAAATTAAGACAAAAGTAGATATGTCAAACGATAAGAAGCATCAACAACATCTGCATCACCATCATCACCTGAGTGCAGTACATCATGAACATTTGGGCAGAGTATCGCCGCACCATCATCATTTGGTATTGAAAAAAATTGGCAAAAATATACTTATGTGCTTAATGGGTTTTATAAAAACAAATTGTGGATATAAGGATAGTGACAGTGAATAGTTAAATACATGGCATTTTAAGAGAAACAACGACGCATTTTACTCGCCTTTTTGCAATGTTTCGTATGTTTGTATTACTCGGATCTCGGTACAGATAAAAGTGTTCCAATTACACTAGTTTACAGCAAAAACGTTCAATGGATGCCACTATCCAATTGCAATAAGGAACTGCTCGCTAATTCCGAAAATCTACTTAATTTCTTATTGTATGGATAAGTTTTCAAGATATTTTCAATTTGCCTTTATTCAGCTTAAAACAAAAAGTGGTTACACTTAATCACGTATATCTTACGGACCAATCTTAATATGAAATACGGCAAATGAAAGCTAATAAAATTCTACATAGACCGTGTATACATCACTTTTCGATAGGTCTTTAACTTTATGAAGAATTAATTAATCATTCCAGAGTTTTTGTTTTTTTTTTATGAAAATATGAAAAATAAAACACTTTAAAAGAAGAGAAATTTAAAAAATAACGGGTTCTGTGTCACATTTTTGCCTTTGTGCTAAAGCCTGTTCTGTTAAAAAAAAATCAGGTTACCTATGAAGATAATCGCTGAATAAATAAAGAAGTAATGAGTGGTCAACTGAAAATACGCAAAAATTTTTGTGTATGAAATATGAGCATAACTAAAAGCGTGCAACTTAGGTGTATATGGCGTATGAGTAGCATTACTTCCTGCTCATTTCCCACACAAAAAATATTTCCGCATTTTCATTTGACCAGTCATTACTTCTTTAATTATCCATCGATTTGTGTCATTAGCAATTTGCTTTGTTTGTTACAGAACAGGCTTTAGCACAAAGGCAAAAATTTGACACAGAACCCGTTATTTTTTAAATTTCTCTTCTTATAAAGTGTTTTTTATTCATATTTTCATTAAAAAACAATCTGGGATGTTTAATTAATTGTCAGAAACTGACAGACCTATCGAAAAGTGACGTATATATACGGTCCATGTAGAATTTTTGTTTGTTCAAAAGACGGTTTATGGAAAGTTTTGTTAGCTTTCATTTGTCGTATTCCATTTTCAGTTTGTTAAATTGGTTCATCAGATATCAGTGACTAAGTGGAACCACCTTTTGTTTTATGCTGAATAACGGTAAATTGAAAATATCTCGAAAACGTAACCATAGAATGAAAAATTAACCCGATCTTTGGAATCAGCGGGTGATTACGCATAAAAATTGGGTGGTGGCGTCCGGAGAACAAAACCGAAATTAAAATTTGTGATCCAGTGTTATTCACATCAAAGTTAAAGAAGATGGAGAATTTAGTTACAGAAGAAAAAAAAAAATTTACTTTATTGTGAGATTGATTTTCCACTGTTCGAAATTGGATTAGGTCGTCCTCAATTTACCGGGCAGGGCAAAAAAAAAATACCCTTTAACAAGGCCTGGCTCAATAAAAATCTAGGTAGCTGTCGATATTTGGGTTTCATTGAATAAGAATTTAAGCCATACTATACTGACTAGTATGCCCATCGGAAAAATGTGCTATGTATCAACACATGAGCTTGGTTTCAAGGCTTATCACTTTTGACATCTGATACAGCACCAGCCTGTTACCTGTGACTCTTTCCTCAAGAAATAATGGAACGGGCATATATTTCTGTTGCAAGCATGGGTTGCCTTGTGCTCTTTTTTCACAAAAAACTTTAGGAAACCGTAGTAGAAAACGTAGCAAATTTCTGAAGAACTGCGTACTGGCTCAAGAAAATTTCTTAGCCATTTCTTGTACGTCATTTCATATGGAGTTTTTGCTTTTCTTGGGAGCTGCATACGGTATGCAGCGTACACCAAATAAGGCGACGGAAGTCTTCCTAGTGCTGGCTAGTAGTCTACATACATGTAGAATTTTTGCTGAAAATTTTTAATAAATGAAATACTTCCGCTACAACCGTGGCCGAGGTTTTAAGTAGATGCTTGAAAGTCAATTGTGAGCAGGTTTGACTGTAAAGAGTACAAAAAAATTATTTACGAGACCTTCTAGGGCCTTCTCTTTAAAATTACTATCTCCTAACCGATAACCTACAAATGTAGTCCCCGTCATATCACTTTTTTTACTCAACACAAAGTTTTTTTTTTTAATTCAAATGCTGCTTGATGGCTAAAAGCTAATTGTTTTCATTTCATTCATTTTGTGTTAGGCAAACACATTTTTGAAATAAATATGTAAAGATGTGCACACAAGTGTAAAAGCTAGTGTAGCCATTTTATGTTGTACGTACAAATTAAATTTTGGCGACAAATGTAGACTTCTGCCGTGTAAGCAAATTTTCAATACCGAGCACATGAAGGTTAATTTTACAACTGCCATCAAAATATTTAGGCCCGATTTAGCGTCCGCGTTGAAAATCACTCAAAATACGCCTCGTTAAGAATTCTGTGAGCGCTACTTTTACCTAATGTGAACGACTCAAGGCATCGATTCAAGGGTATTCATACCCTCTTCTAATATATATGTATATATTTCTTTTTAATATTCACTTAAGCTTAGAATCAGTTTTCGGACTTTACTGCAATTGCAGTAGATCTACTGCGCTTGTTAGCAAAATTAAATGTTCTACTGCGTCACTCCGGTTTTTTTTTTCAAATCTACAGCGATTTATTTTAAAGCTTATTTTTGTATTTCTCTGTTTATTCAAGACCAAAAGATTTTTTTTATGTTTGAAAAAATATAAATTTGTCGACGGAAAATATATTTCGAATTAGTAAAAGGTGTTTCTGCAACATAACATTTTTCAAAATGGACGGTGACGGTTTTTCATTATTTCTGTTGCTTGAAAAAGTACTTCGCCGTTGCTATAATCTTTCTTGAAGAAATAAATATATGTATGAGCATTTTTTTTTTAATTTATAGTATACACGTATATACTTGCACATATACATATGTATATGAATTTTTCCTTTTTTTTTTTGAAGGGCTGGTTCTAAGCTTTAGGACCAAATTAATTAATATTGATAGCAAATATCTTCCTAATGACACCTTGGAAATGAAAATCAGTACTGGGGTAGTTGGAAAAACACCTAAATACTTAGTACACTTTATCAAAGCTTTGATACAGATCTTTTAAGCCTTTTTTTTATCTCGAAAAGAACTCGAAACTTAGTTTTCCATGTCTTGAGCCAACTTGATTTAAATAAAGTGAAAATAAATGGCAGAGGTAGAAGTAATATTCATGGAGGAAATGATCGTGGTCCCTTGACAGGTCTAGTTTATCGCAGAAGTACACTCGGAGGTTTGTCATTATCAGCCGAGAGTAGACCGCTATTTGACCAAATTTTTTTTTTGATTTGCTGGGGCCAGAAATTGAAACACGGACCTCCCGAGTGGCAGTAGGCACATTTAAGCACGGCGGCAAAAGCACTACAAAAATCCGAATAAAGTCAGAAAAATGCAATAAAGTGTTATTTAAAAAAAAAAAGTTGAAATAAGACCAAATTCGAATTTTTCACTGATTTCTGTCTGTTTTACTTTTTACACAAAAAAAACTCTGTACTTATTTTGTTTTGCTCCCTTCTAAATAAAAGCTATTTTTAATGTTAATAGTTTTTCTGTGATTTTTGGTCATGACCAACATAGTATTTTTGCTGTATAAAAACTATATAAAATAAAACCGGTTTAGCCGGGTTTTTCTTAATTTCAAAAAGGATACCGTTTTTTTTATTGCAATTTTTCGAATAACTCGAAAACCGGATTAGCAGCCTCCAGCTTTCTATATGCAGCCCAACGTTATCATTCCGTCCGAGCATTCTATTTAGAGTAACAGTTGAATCAGCATCTTGAAAGAGTCCAAGGTATTTATTCCGATCACAGCTATGCAGTTAGGCCTCAATACTTTGTTGGTTAATTAGCCTCAATACTTTGATAGTTTGAAATTTTCGTGCAGATCGAGGGATAGCTAATAGGCGACATACACAGTGCGTCTGAGTCGCGAGTCATTTTTGTGTACGTGTTGACTCCCCTTCCACTAGGCAAGGCATTTTTTCTATTTTTTGGGTTAACCGAAAACTAAACTATCAGACAATCTTTTAGATGCGTCGAATATATAGATTTTAATTCATTAGACGATCAAGTAAAATGTAAGCTCTAACTTAAGGGAGAAAAATTATGGTTTGGTGCTGCATGAAATTCTATAATCGTCTGCATTCACCTCGGGTACCCTTTTGATTTTAACGTAATTTATCAAATTTAATTGTTTTTATGCTTCAGCTCGATTCCAACTGCGGCAATACTGTCGTTCCCATCCCGGACCACCACCATGGAATCGATCTTGTCACGACTTTGCGTAGTGAACTTGCGGCTTTGTCGTACAAACGAGACCGACTGTCGAATGATGTATGTATGCTAAAAAGTTCTGTCAATATACTTCCAGTATGTAATTTAAGATCGATAATTTCTCGCCACCATTACATTTATTAGCTCGGAGACGCACGGGCTGCCTTGGCCGCCCGCGAATCGGAATGCGAAAATCTACGCGCACAAGCCGCCCGACAATCGGCTCTCATAAGCAGCCTGCAAAGTCGCTTGCAGACCGCTGAGAATCGCGAGCAATCGATACAGTCACGCTGCGACTCCACCATACAGACCATACAACGCGAGAAGCATTCCTCCGATGAGCGCAGCAAGGAGTTGCAGTGCAAAATTCAACACCTCGAAAACCATCTGGCCGCTGAGGAACAGCAGAAAGAGCAAGCGCGTACCCAACTCAACGATTTACTGCGACGCCTTGCCACTTGCCTGGGCGTGGATTTGTGTGAGAATGCACATCTGACACCCGAATGTGTGCTGAATCGCGCGGAAGAGGTGATGACAGAGCTGCAACGCACCAAGGCTAAGGCGAGCTCCACATGCGACACGCTGAGCAGCTGCGAGAACGAGCTTATGAATTTGAAATCGCTAGCCAACATAGAGAAGCAGCGTTTGAGCGCCCAACTCGAAGGTATGACCAACCACAACCACGAGCTGGAAGGACGCTGTCGGCAGTACGAACGCGATTTGCAACTACAACGCGATCGGGTGACTGAGACAGAGATAAGTGGCGAGAAGTTGAAAGAGGAACTGCGGGGCTTCGAGTCGCGTTGCCATCGCTTGCAGAACAATCTGGACCGCACGCAAAGCGAACGCCTGCAATTCCTGCGTTGTCTGGCCAATCAGCTCAATGTGCCGGAACCGTGTGAAACATTGATCAAGGAGAAAGTTCGTGAAATATTGACTGATAATCAAGCGATGCATGTGGTGAGAGGCAGTTAAAAATTGGTTTCTGAAAAAATTCAAAATACAACTATTTTCAGCAAGTACATTCATTGCGCGATCAGCTGAATTCGGAACAATCGAAGTTGAAGGAAACCCAAGAGACCACACAGTGTCGCCTGCGAACCGAAGAAGCTCAAAAGTGCCAGCTAGAAGAGCGTCTAGAAAAGTGTCAAGCGGAGATCCACACGCTGCGCAACGATCATCTGGGCCTCTCAGAGTATCTGCAACGGCTGGCGAGAGCGCTAAATTGGGCGGAATGCACTTCACCGCCCGCACTCGGCACCGACACCAACATTCTGGCGGAGTCTCTGTTGGAGCGTGCCGAGCGAATAGCGGCACACCATGATCATCATGGACATGAGCACGACATTGGGCATCGTCATATGCATCACTCGCGATACGAGCATTCGCCGGATAAGGTGCGTTAACTTGTTGTTGCTGTCTTCCTAATGATAGTATTTCCTGTTTTTCTGTACTCTAGGGCTGTTGCGACCATCACGCGCATGGACATGGCAAGCTAAGGCGCGAGCGTTCATGTCACGACATACCATTGAAGGAGAGCAGTAGCCTATACACATTACAGCGGCGCGTTCGCATATTGCGTGAGCAGGTGCAGCGCCGTGATCTGCATCTGGAGCTGCTGCGGCGTAAACTGGCGATCATCGAAGAAGGTGCCAGGGGCAAGTGTGTGCTTCAGGTGAATCGAGGACGCAAATAATGTAAGCCAAATTACTTAATGATTAGTATTTTTGTTTCTAATGTGCAGGGCGAGCGTGACGAGGCGGTGTGTCGCTCCAAGAAGGCCAGCAAGCAGATCGATAAGCTCACGGCCCAGCTGGTGGATGCGCGTTCACAAATAGCCGAAGTCAAAGCGCAATTGGCGGAGGCTGTAGAGTACAAGGTACACGCAACCACAATGAGCTGGTTTGCAAACTTGAAAAATGTTTTTCATACTCAATTTCTTACTCACAGATCACCGCCCTGGAGCGTGCGCGCAAGATAGATGAGCTGACTGGTCAAATTTGCGATCTGGAAGAAGAGAAGACACGCTTATTGGCACAATACAACGCTATTAAGGATCGCTTAAAGTCTACGAGTGAATCCTCCCAAAATAGACGTTGCCGCGATGAGGCGCTCATCAATGTGAGTGGGGCGTTAACATATGCCGATCTCATTTGCCTAATACTCTTCTTCCCCTGTAGTCTCTCCGCGAAGACATTGCACGCTTACAAACCCAACTCTCCGATGCCAATCATCGCCTATCCCACCTTCAGTCGTTCCGTACTTCGGTCGCCCGGACACTCCACCTACGCGATTTGCCCGAATCAGATCTGCTGCATCGCTTGCAGGCGCTCTGCTCAGCTCATCAGGAATTTACGCTGCTCTCTAAGCGCTACGAGACTGCATCACCTGTGGGTGATCATCCCTGTCCACGATTCGATGATCCCATACCACCAACGTCGCACTGTCGCCCGCCCAACGAGATGGAACACATCAGTGCAAGTGTTTATGAGGAACATACGAGATCGTCGCATGGGCATGCGCACCATCACAGCACGGCCGAGCATCACCAGCACCGACATCGCAGCAAGAGCCGCGGTGGTGGTGGTGGCGGTGGCGGTGGCGCTGCGGGACGTTGCGCTGACCGCACAGCAATGGAAGAGGGCGAACGTTTTGTTGCTGGCTGTGGGGAGCGTCGCAGTGCGGGTGGTGGTGGTGGGACTGGTGTGGGGAGCAAGCGGATGCACGATAAATGCTTCGATACCGATGTGCATCGACATCATTGCACCAAAGACGATTTTCTAAATGGCGGCTACGATGACTTTGATTTTAAGTGAACTTATTGAGAAATTTTGCGTAGATCTCGAACTAAATTTTTACGAACAAAATTCGCAACTTTTATACTCCTAACGAACTCAGGCGTATTTTAATAAATGAGATATACATAAATCCATATGTGCTTATATATACATACATATGTTAATCAATCAATTTCTGCGTGTGATTCATCGTTTGTTAGAATCCTTATTGCTCAGTTATGCACACTTGGCGTTGCATGAGAGTTGCCACATAAGAAATCTCTTGCTTTACATGTAAGCGGTTACCCGTCTACGTAAAAATGGCATAGCAGTGCAAAGCATGCATAACTGAGCTATAAATCCCAGTTGAACCTCGTTATCGACACCCAGCATATAACATGTGATCGATAAAGCAGTCGAATGTTTGTTTAACTGAAGGATGTACCTCCAGTTAAGGTGGGTTGTTCAATGTCTGGTTACCACAAATCGGAGGTAGAAGCTCCGGTTAAATACAACGACTGCTTTATCGATCCCATGTTACTGCTACAAGCCCACAGGTCCCAGGTTCGATCCTCGGTTGGAGCGATTGCCAAAAAAATGTTATTTTTATTTTATCTTTTATTTGATTCATATATTTCATTTTACTTTATTTTATTTTCGTTTGTTTTAAATTGGTTTTACATGACTTTTGACAATTTTCTAGAAAAAGGACTAAATATTTTATCTGGAAATATTATAAATTGTATCTGAAATAAGAAAAATTGTATACCTTTGCAAAAATTCATGCGCAAGTGGTAAAGTTGCACAAGTTCTCTGGTTTGACAAGCCGCTTGTGTGGTGTATTTCCCTATTGAATGAACAGAGCAACGTCGTGATGGCGCCATCTAGGGAGTACTAGCTGCACAAATATTTTTAGCTTTTCTTTTTTACCGGTAGGTGTCAGCAGTAGACAGTAAACGTATTACTACAGTGGTGGCTAAAAAATTAAAACCCATTTTTTTTTTGTTTTGGTTTGTTTGCAATTTACGCAAAATTTCGGGATTTTATTTCCTAAAGCAGAGAGGTTTTTTTTTAAAATTTCAAGGCAATTGAAGAGCTTATTAAAATGAACAGAAGCTAGAAATATAACTGTCAACCAGGCCTTGAGCAAATGGCCCTAACTGGAGATGTATGCTTCAGTTAAGCACATCGATCAGAGGTTATATGCTTGGTGTCCATGCAGTCGATAACGATGTTTAACCGGGACTTAAAGCGCCACAGTCAACGACGTAGCGTAAATGTACGTTGACGTACGTAGCAGCATCTATATATTTAGGGCCGGTTGTTCAATGTCTGGTTATCAGTACTTGCCCGTTAAACATCATTATCGACGTTTTCGATATCATGCATATAACATGTGATCGATAAAGCAGTCTTTGTATTTAACCGGAGCTTCTACCTCCGATTTGTGCTAATCAGACATTGAACAACCGGCCCTAATACGCCAACATACATTTTGTCTCCGTTCGTTTGGCGATTCTACCGAACCGATTTCAAAACCAAGACCACCGTTGGAAAGGCGTTTTTCCGTTGGTTGAAAATTACGGCCAAAACCGTCGTTTAAACATTTTCGAATTGTGTATACATGTTGCTGCAACATGTTCAATTTGACATGTTTCGCATGTTGTTTCCCTACACATTTGAAATTAAGCTATGTAATAAAGATAAATATGAAGATGAAGAAACAAGTGATAGAGTTGAAGACAAAAACAAAGACAAAAGTGAAGATAAAGACGAAAATTGAGATAAAGGCGAAAATGGAGACAATGAGAAATACATAAGAATTAGGTTAAAAGATAGGAATCGAAATAAAATCAGCCATAAAGGTTACTGAAATTTATCGAATCATCGAAGTTTATAATTATCGAAATTTATCCATGCTTATTAAGTTATCACAACGTATCGAATTATTCCAATTGATCAATATTTATTGAGTTGTAGAAATTTATAGACACAGGAACTTAGTTGTCGAAATTTACGAATAGTTATCGAGCTATAAAAACATGTGGGATTATCGAAATTTGTCAAGTTAAAGAAATTATCAAGCTATCGATATTTATTGAATTATCATTATTTATAGACTTAACGAA